TCATCACCTTTAACTAATTCCTCACTAGCTTGCTCTTCCGTAGCATTTAGTTCTTGTTTAATTTGTTGTAGTTTATCATAGATTAGCCCAAACTGCTTGACTGCTTCTACTCGGGCAAATAGAGAATTATCTAATTGTTCTTTAGTTTCGGTTAGCTCAGTGTTTTTTTGGGCTAATTTAGTTCTTAGATTTTCAATTTGTTTTTGTTTTTCAACTAATTGGTCTTGAAGTAAAGGAGTAGGTGGATTATTATTAGCAATATCATTAGCGGACTTGGAGCGTTTTAACTTTTTTAAATCGGAAGCTTTAACTCCCGGTTTCACTTTGGCTAAAAGTTCCTGTTGCAATTGCTCTTTAGTCATGAGTTTTTATTTCTTTTTGCGATATCTACTATGCACTGGATTTACTTTTGCTCTCTCTCTCTCTCTCTCTCTCTCTGCTACTTGGGATAGGAGCGAGTAAAGGCCATTAAAATCAATCACTTGATAATCTTGGGCTTTAGCATCAAACAGGAGATTAATTTGCCTTAACTGGTCATGGTATTCCTGTTGGTCTTGCTTACTTTCGGTTTGTAATTCAGTGATTTTCTTTTCTAAGTTAGTGTTTTTTTCGGTTAACTGGTTATTTTCACATTGTTCTTCATCTAGTTGCTTAGCTTTTTTCTTATATTTAGTTTCTAACTCTTTCTTTTCTTGAGTAATTCGAGTGATTAGGCGTTCTTTTTCGTTTACTCGGTTTTTTCAGGCCGTAGTGAGACTAATTACTTCGGCTTCTAATTCGTTACTTTTGCGAGTTAATTCATCTACCCGAGTTTCTCAGGTTTCATTTTCTTCCAGAATTTCAGTTAGTTGGCGACCATTAAGTTTAGTGCGAATTTCGTTAATATCTTGACCACCAATTTCATTTCGGCAGAAATCAGCAAAGATTTGATTAACTTTTTTGACTTCGTTTATTTCTTGCGAGGAAGCAGAATTAGTAAAGTTAGTTAGCGTATTTTGTTTTCTATTTTGGTAATAGAGATAGATTAGTGCTAGAATTAGGGCAATGATGATTAGGTCTTTATTTTCCATA